GACCTCCCTTTATATTAATAGAACAATAATGTCATTGTTAGCTAATGAATGTTTCCATGCTGAACAACGGCAACATGACAACGTTTTCATTGGTCCCTCTTCTTTAGAGAAGACCAGGAAATGATGGATACACGGATCGTGTTCAAATCAATAGGCACGCAATGACTCTAAATAATAATGATCACGCCACCAAACACACATTCAAACTAAAGGAACCAGCCTGTTTGGAAAATGTGAGAAGTAGAAAGTACAGGTATTTGTGTTCAAAGTGTAAGAAGTAGAAAGTACAGGTATTTGTGTTCAAAATGTAAGAAGTAGAACGTACAGGTGTTTGTGTTCAAAATGTAAGAAGTAGAAAGTACAGGTATTTGTGTTCAAAATGTAAGAAGTAGAACGTACAGGTATTTGGGTTCAAAATGTAAGAAGTCAAAGTAAAAAGTCTTCAGAAAAATAAGTAGTGGGGAACTGAGGATCGAATTCAAGGTCTCCGTCCTCACCCACCAGTGTGTCCATGGAACTGCCCCTCCCTACCTCAAGGAACTCCTCACCACCCATACCTCCTTGCGGACCACCCGCTCCAGCATCTCCAACCTGCTCAAACCCCCCAGGACTAAGCTCCGTACTATGGGAGACCGGGCCTTCTGCTCGGCTGCTCCCAGTCTGTGGAACGCTCTCCCCGACCACATGAGAGCACCACAGACCGTGGAGGCTTTTAAAAAAGGCCTCAAAACCCATCTCTTCAAAAGAGCCTTTGCCTAGACCTTTTTACCACCTTTTATTTTTATTTTTATTTATTGCTTTTTATTAATTCTACCGTGTTGTGTCATGTCTATTTATACTGTTCATGCTCACTGCTTGTAGCACTTCGGGATTTGAATTCGAATATGAAGTGCTTTATAAATGGAACCCATTATTAGTGGAGTAAAGTACTGATACCAGAAAAATGTACTTAAGTGCAGTAACGAAGTATTTGTACTCCACTACTTCCCACCTCTGGAAACTAAGACATGCTCTGGTGACCAATCAGATGTGAGATGTTGGGGTTTTGTGCAACAACAAGGAAGGTAATGTAGAGTAAAACACACACAAAGGAGGATTTAAACAATGAGTGCCAATGCAGCTGTTTGACTAACATCCTGTCTGTCAGTGACAAATACTTTACAACTCTTGAGAAGAGGAGGATATCCCCTCGCCATCCTCCAAGGCGCTTTGTGTTTGCCCCTTTTTCCTTGAGAAATGTCTGAATAGGCATAAGAAGAGGATGTGAAAATGTGCAATAAAAAGATAAAATAAAATACAAATGTACACAAACATAAGACACGAACACGCTGTCGCCGCCACATCGTTTTATGGCTAAAAGTGTTAATGTAATGTTATCGATCATCTCTGATAATCCTGTTGTGAATGAGTAATGAGATATCTGATCATTTATTAACCATCAGAGAGAGAAACTATCACAACCTAAACAGACTGGAAGAGCTCTGCCTCCCCCCTGTGGTTAAAGACACAAACTGCACCCTGTGTCGTTTCTATTTATGTCGTTTTTGGTTAGAAAAGTGTCATTTAAACCAAAAAACTAATTAAAATCAGGTGAAACATTTGCTCTTAGGAAACCTATTTCCCCTTCTGAAATTATTTGGAATAATGCTACTAGGCAGTGTGTGCCTAAATGCAGAAATGTGTTTCTTTCTAAAAAATAAATGGTTAACTATATATATATGTTTTTATTTAAACAGGTGATAATTAAAAGATAAATTACAGGTAATAAAAAAAAATGACTCTGACGTACCTATTTCGACATATCAAGACATCTGCTTGAAAAGGCATATTGTTACTAAATGTGTATTATTATTATTATTATTATTATTATTATTATTATTATTTAAGTATTATAAAGGACATTATTTTTTATTATTATTATTTTATTATTAAATTATTATTTAGTTTTTATTATTTATTTTTAGTATTTTATTACATTATAATTATGTTATTTAGATATTGATTATTACTACAGGTGCTTGTGCGTGGATGCACTCTCATGATCAAACAGTAGAGGGCGCTGTTTCTCACTATTTGTATTGCCAATACCCCTTTACAAACTGCTGCTGGATATTTAACAGACAATTACGTGCCAATATATATGTATTAGTTTATTAATTAGTACATAAAGTAAACAGTAAAGTAACTAAGGCTGTCAGGTAAATGTAGTGGAGTACATTTGCTTGGAAAAATGTATAGAAGAGGAGGAAAAAGTAGCAGAAAATGGAACTACTTAAAGGTCCCATGTCATGCTTTTCTGGTTATTACCCGTCCCCTTGTATGAAGCTTTTTCTGCATGTAAGCGGTCTGCAGAGTCACAAAGCTCTAACACAGAAAAGACCTATCGATGCTGCCCCAGAACGCCTCGTTGGAGATTTCTTTTTCTTCCTGGGTACAGTGACGTGCCCATACCCAAATGGATCCGTGGAGCTCCTCACACACACCAAGCCCCCAGGAAGTGCGCCGGACTCAGATGAAAATATTCGTGCTGGCCAAACGGCGGTACTACACTTCCTTTTGGTTGCCAGGCCCGGAAACACTTTTTCCCATTGACTTACATGGGGAAAGAGTGGTCTGTAAATCGTTGGATAATTTTTTTTAAACTAAATAAACTACCCAGTATGAACACTTGTATAGCCCTTATTAAAAACATTCGTTCCTCAAGTTGTAAAAATGTGCTAATAACGTTATTCTGTGAGTTATTTCCCTCTGCATTATGAACGTGCATCTAACCCACAGGACCGCGCCGCCCGGCACGTTCATGTTACGTGTTCAGCACTACATGCGTTTATCTTTACCCATGGATGCACAATAAGAACGGACCCATATCGCCTTACTGCCAGCCCACGGAGCTGTAATAATGGATATATTGCACATGTTTGCTGTAATTCATCATTTGTAAAATATTATACTACATGGGCTGTATGATTAAATCTTGTACCGTAAATGTTGTATTAAATAAAGTTAATATTACCGACATAGATTAACGTCCCTGTAGCTTCTTATTGCACTAAGAAGCTTATTGCACTGTATATATATGTATATATATACATATATATATATATATATACAGTGCAATAATTCTTTCATGCTAAATGAAGCTCTGTTGCTTGGATATCACTAGATCCTGTTACAGCGTAATATAAAAGTACATAACGATTGATGTGTAAATTAGCATAATTACTAGCTAACCGCTAGCTGCTAACTGCCGCATCGTTAATATCAAATCTATCATAATAACAAACCATTACCATGCTGTCATGAACGTGCGGTGCTGTTACGTGTACGCAAATTGACGTGCTTAATGTGAACGAGCATTTTGGGGGCATGGTTAAAGTTGCGCATGCGCTATGAGCGCACATACGGGTACTTCTCAGGCATGCCGGGTAATCTGTGACGTTTCGCTCTCTCAAAAGTTGGGCCATTTTATCATCATGCGCGAATGAGCAACTCTCATAGGAATGAATGAGGCCCCGCCTCCCACGCTGTATCCAGTTCTTATTATACATCCATGACACACACACATCACAATCTCTTAGCGGTAACACTGTGACGCGCTGGGGGGGGGGGGGGGGGGTGCGGGTGCTAGTGGAGCATCGCAGATGGGGGTGCTGTTTACAGTGTTACGGCTTCCACAGATGACATTTTTTAATGTATTTTTTGTCAAAGCCCCCCCCCCTACCCGCGTCCATGGTGCTCAGGCTGAGTTCAGGCTGCGTTTCGCGATGTCTCGCAGACCCCACGCAGCAACCAGGAAACGACACGAGCTCACACTGTCCCCTCCTCACAGAAGCGAGCCGCGCAACGTCCCACCAACACGCCCCCACGCAGCATTCTCATCTGTTTGTCATTACTGGTGTCATTTTCTGGTTGCTAACAAACACCAGTGGGCGAACTGACCAATCAGAGCACAGTGGGCTCACGGGGAGGCAGGAGCTCCAACAAGCCGTGTAGGACAGAGAGTGAATACACATGCTATACAGAGATGCTGTATGAGAAACCAATGTGAGTTTGGAAAATTGCACAATGTAAATCTATTCTAGTATACCTCAACAATGGAATTATGATCAGTAGAAATGGCCATGACATGGGACCTTTAAGTGTTTTAAATTGTACTTAAGTACTTGAGTAAAAGTACTTAGTTACTTTCCACCTCTGCAGCTGGACTTGTAGCTCTGTGGAGATTTCCTCACTTTAAATCCTTGCACTCATTTCCAAAAAGCATCGCAGTTTTTTATTTATATATTTGTGGAGGCATTTCCTGTCTCACCGTCCTGTGCTGCTGCCCGGGATGATGACACAGTTTCGGGGCTGCAGAGCTGACAGAAACACGGAGAGGAAGCACGGAATAAAAGCAGGTCGTGAGAGCTAGAGGAGGAAAAGCTACCGATGCAGGATCTGTGCACATAGGAGGACATAAAGAAATCTGCAGGGTTATAAGAGGACGAGGAGAGGAGGGAGGGAGGGGGGGGGGGAGGATGCGCGCACGCTTCCCCGCTCAGGGTGCACCATCGTCCGGGTAAATGTCCTCCGGAATCACCGAGAGTTTAACGGAGCTATTCTGAGGAGGTGGGCCAAGTCCCGGGAGAGAGAGAGAGAGAGAGAGAGAGAGAGAGAGAGAGAGAGAGAGAGAGAGAGAGAGAGAGAGAGAGAGAGAGAGAAGAGAGGATCGAGAGAGAGACGAGAGAGAGAGAGACGAGAGGTCGACGGGAGAGAGACGAGAGGAGAGGAGAGACGAGCCGAGAGGTATGAGGAGAACGAGAGAGAGGGAGAGAGAGAGAGAGAGAGAGAGAGGAGAGAGAGAAGAGACCGAAGAGACCGACCTGCGACGAGGACGAGAGAGAGGCAAAGGAGAAGAGAGGCAATAGGACGAGAGAGAGAGAGAGGTGAGAGAGAGAGGAGAGGACCTGAGAGAGAGACCCTCACTCTGGTTGCTTTTGTTGTCAGTGATGTGCAGACTCGTTCAAGCAGACCGTGCATTTCAAAGGCCTCTCTGGTTCTACATGTGTGCAGGTAAGCAGCTCTTCTCTTACTATTGCATATCTACAATCTGTCTGTAATACAAGATACTGCTGCACAGAGCATGCATGCATCAGGATTTGGTGTCATTCACACTGGGGACATGTCCTCAACACTTTTTTTTGGGATGGCTTTTAAGATTTGGTCTGTTTTCGAAGTGTCATTTGTGAGAGAAATAGCTTGCCGTTATGAAATGACCCAAAATCCTGCATGCACTGATAACTTTAAAAACAAATTGACAGCATTTCTTCCCTTTAAATTGCCTGAAATGGTATGCATGCATCAGGACAAGGGTGTCATTTGGGTCATGTCCTCAACTATTTTTTTGAAATGTGTTTGATGATTTTGTCTCTATTACTTGAAAGGTTTATTTGCACAATGAGAAATACCTTAAAATGAAAAAACACGCATTCTCCTAAGCCAAAATAATAGCGTACAACAAAAATCCTGCGTGCATTGATGAGTAACTTTAAACATGTTATGACATCATTTCTTGTATCTACTCTGACCTCAACCCTAACCCTCATTGCATTCTCTAAACGCATATATGTTGAATGCCATTTAATATATTACAACCCCCTGTCCCCTACTTTCTCCCACAAAATGACGCTTTTGCACCAGGTTACCTTTTTCAAAATTGTCCGTTGCCTTGTCCACTTTAAGTTTTATTGTAATTAAAGTACAATTACTGGTATAAAACACATCTAAGTATTCAAAAGGGCATAACAAATATAATAAATTCTATATATGGATAGTTATTTTAAACCGCAAACTGGATTTCTTTTTTAATAACAGCAAAATTACTGGTATAAAACACATAAAAGGTTCTCAAAAGTACCTTAAATAAAGTGTAAATGATGTGCATTATATCCCTTTGTTCCCATATAACTCATGATAATGGTTCTGGGAGGTTATGGTTGTAGTTCTTTGGCCATTACAGAGTGAGTTTGTGCTGCTATTATCCTCAGAGAACTATTTTTACCTCCTACAACGCTATTATGTAATTCGTCCAGTAGGTGCACTGACGGGAGATTAATACAAATGAAACTGGAAGTCAAACTAATACAGTAACTCAAGTACTTTATGGACGTATAAATACTTCCATGTGTTGCTTCTTTACTCCACTAATGAGGAATATATGATATCAGTGTGAAAGGAAAACCTCTACTGATATTTTAAGAACATAATGACCACTATATTTGTGTATGTCAACTTGAGAAGCGTGTAAAAATGAAAGCCTTTTATTGGTAATTGAGATTCCTGCACTACCACTTTTTATTGAATAACATAATACAATAAGCTAATTAAATTAAAATAACAGATATATAGTGACTCAAAGGGAATGCATTTTTAAAGAAGCCCTCCAAAACATTATGGTATATTTACAGATAGATAGATAGATGGATGGATAGATGGATAGATGGATAGATAGATAGATAGATAGATAGATAGATAGATAGATAGATAGATAGATAGATAGATAGATAGATAGATAGATAGATAGATAGATAGATAGATAGATGGATAGATGGATAGATGGATAGATGGATAGATAGATAGATAGATAAATATACATGTGGAAATACAACTTTCCAGTAACAAATACAATGCAGGATATTATTGTGCAAGAAATGGATTATTCAATATGAAATTGAATATAAATGTGGGAGTTTAAATCCAGTTATTAAGAGACGCTATGGAGCAGAGAGTTCTCTTACAGTAGAGGAAATTAAAAGTAAATGTACTACAGCACACACTGCAGGTCTCTGTGGGGCTTCAGTGGTTTTTGGATCATGTTTCCCTTCCTCTCCGCTCTCCTCCCACTCACTGTAACTCTGTTGTTTCAGCAGTGAAGAACAGAGCCGTACAGAAACAGAAACAGAGCAGAGAGACAAACGCTTTCATACTTCATCACTCAGAGCAGCGTGCATGTGTGAGGAGTTACATAAAAGCTGTTATAAAAGAGGGGGAATCCAAACAGGTGTGTGTGACGTAGAGTGTAATACTGTAAGTCCAAAATACACTGTCTATTCGCACATATATATATATCCAAAAATGTATATAATATCATAGAATTAAGTTGTATTCTACTCACCAGTATTTATTTGTACATAGTTGTTTCTTGTTTTGTTTTATATGTACATATTTATCTTATTCCTACAACATACTAGACCAGGGGTGGGCAAACCTTTTGGCTCGGGGGCCACTATGAGGGCCAGTAGCAGATCGGTGAAAAAATATTTAGCTGTCCACTGAGTTATTGCGTCATTGCGTCATCGTTTGCGTCATGACGTAACCGTTTACGTGCCTTCTTATGACCCACATGGCGTTTTACGTCGCTGATTCTCTCCGCAACACCGCTCACAACAACATCAATAGAGGACTGTAAGCGTGACGTATTTGGTTCTTAGATCTTGCCGGGTTGCTGACTCCAGCAAAGGTCATTTGTGTCTAGAGTGCGCCATCTAGTGGGATCAACTGAAATGCCGGGTATTGAAAGGAAAAAGGCAAAATGAATACGGTCTTTACTATAATTTGGACAATTTTGTACCAATATTCGGCGGGCCGGATTAAAAAGCCCAACGGGCCGTATATGGCCCGCAGGCCTTAGTTTGCCCATGCCTGTACTAGACCCATTTTGTTTTTTTCTGGACTATATTATGTATGTTGCATTATTGGAGGAGCTTTAAACGTCAGATTTTAATGGCCAAACTACGCGGTATTCCTTTCAATCCTTCTGTCGCCATTGAAATCATATAGATGGAAGTATAACAAAATGTGGATTCATTTATCTCAGCAGGAGAGGACTCTTTAAAGTAGAGACACTACATACTGATATACACCTGAACATCAGCAGGAGAGGACTCTTTAAAGTAGAGACACTACATACTGATATACACCTGAACATCAGCAGGAGAAGACTCTTTAAAGTAGAGACACTAGATACTGATATACACCTGAACATCAGCAGGAGAGGACTCTTTAAAGTAGAGACACTACATACTGATATACACCTGAACATCAGCAGGAGAGGACTCTTTAAAGTAGAAACACTACATACTGATATGAACCTGAAAATGTGGATTTGATGTCCTCTTTGAAATAAATGGTGCCAGGGTTATTGGCCGAGGTGCAGTGGAAGCAGTTGGATAGAAAACAGGCATATTTTTTGTTGAGGTGTGTCTGGGTCAAAGCACCTTCAATAGAGTAAGTGCAGATTGCGTGATAACCCCGGCACAGAGCGATGAACTCTCAGTTCCTCGAGGACTGAACCTCTGACCTCCTCACTGTGGGGGCGACTCTGTGACGGGGTTTGAACCCGAGGGCTTTTCAGCGACGCTACACAGCGAAAAACCGTGTCAGTGTGAGATTGGACTGACATGTTGAATGGATGACGGGCTGTTTGGGCCAAATAGACTGTCAGAGAGAGCGAGGAAGAGATGGATGAGAGGAGGGAGGAAGAGAGAGGAAGGAAATACCAGAAGGAAAGATGAAGAAATGATGGAGAGGTGTTGTGTCTGCAGGCCATACCTGACTCTCTCTCTGATTGGTCCTTTTCCCTTCATTCTCTCCTGCTTTAGTTTAATCTGTAGAGCATTACAACCTGTGATGCGTTACATCTACTGCTTTTGTGGAGTTACCTAAACCATAATATGCTTTGATTTCATACAGTAGTCTTTCCCATATCACCACTGTTCAACAAGTCCTTTGGTTACATTTTAGGCTATCAAGAGTTATATATTGGGTTAATGAGGAACAATACCCAGCAATTATATACAGTATTTTAACTGGGCAAAGATGGGCACAGTTCATAGTATATGTTGAATATACCTTTCTTGTCTTTTCACAAGAGATAATGGGGGATATGACAATGATTATATGTGATATTTGTTTACAACTGCAGCTAAGAAATACCTGTGACTTCTGAAGAGTTATTTGTCCAGATAATACATTTGATAACGAGGACATATTAAGCTGATGTTCAGGTGTATATCAGTATGTAGTGTCTCTACTTTAAAGAGTCCTCTCCTGCTGATGTTCAGGTGTATATCAGTATGTAGTGTCTCTACTTTAAAGAGTCCTCTCCTGCTGATGTTCAGGTGTATATCAGTGTGTAGTGTCTCTACTTTAAAGAGTCCTCTCCTGCTGATGTTCAGGTGTATATCAGTATGTAGTGTCTCTACTTTAAAGAGTCCTCTCCTGCTGATGTTCAGGTGTATATCAGTATGTAGTGTCTCTACTTTAAAGAGTCCTCTCCTGCTGATGTTCAGGTGTATATCAGTATGTAGTGTCTCTACTTTAAAGAGTCCTCTCCTGCTGATGTTCAGGTGTATATCAGTGTGTAGTGTCTCTACTTTAAAGAGTCCTCTCCTGCTGATGTTCAGGTGTATATCAGTATGTAGTGTCTCTACTTTAAAGAGTCCTCTCCTGCTGATGTTCAGGTGTATATCAGTATGTAGTGTCTCTACTTTAAAGAGTCCTCTCCTGCTGATGTTCAGGTGTATATCAGTGTGTAGTGTCTCTACTTTAAAGAGTCCTCTCCTGCTGATGTTCAGGTGTATATCAGTATGTAGTGTCTCTACTTTAAAGAGTCCTCTCCTGCTGATGTTCAGGTGTATATCAGTATGTGTCTCTACTTTAAAGAGTCCTCTCCTGCTGATGTTCAGGTGTATATCAGTATGTAGTGTCTCTACTTTAAAGAGTCCTCTCCTCCTGATGTTCAGGTGTATATCAGTATGTAGTGTCTCTACTTTAAAGAGTCCTCTCCTGCTGATGTTCAGGTGTATATCAGTATGTAGTGTCTCTACTGGGACATGTCTCCATGCTTTAATGTTTAAAAAGCTCTTTACTTTTCTCATACTGTCTGTGCTGCAGCACCTCTTTTCACCCTCTGTCTGAAACCAGAGCCCAGTCTGCTCTGATTGGTTAGCTGGCCGGCTCTGTTGTGATGGGTCAAATGCTAAGAGATGTCCCGCCCCTTAGTCTATCACGTACAATGTGTTTGAAGACCATCAACATGCACAAAAATCTATAACACACACTACAGCAGGGCTTCTCAAACTCTGGACCAAGGTCCGGATCCGGACCGAACTGCAAATCAATCCGGACCGAACCCTGTGTCCCATTATAAAAAAAAAAAAATTATTAAAAAAAAAAAAAAAAAAAAAAATTATAATTCTGATAAATTAATGTACATCATCATGTACGCGCGTCTTGTGTCTGACGCGTTGTGAGAATGAACGTGCATATATATTTACTTGTGTGTGCGAACGTGACACGCATAGCAGACCGCAAGTTAACCGCAAGTTTACCTTGACTTTCTAATGCTTCTAATGCCTTTTTTAGAAGGGGGACTGACTTTACTGGCATTGATCCGGACCAGTGACCTTGTATAAAGTTCACAACTGGACCTTTAATAAAAAAGTTTGAGTACCCATGCACTACAGCAAAGGGAAAACCCCCAAAAAGAGGCTTTAGTGCAAAACAGGGACTTCAAAAACGTCCTCTCTTAACCCTGCTGTGATTGGACAGTATAGCAAAGTGAGGTTTGCTCTTGTTTTTGCATTATATATAGAGAACAGTAATACTCTCATCTGCACTTTCGAGTGTTGTTTTGCATGCAGACTCCCTTTCTGTGACTACATGTGAAATCAGTGTAGTCAGTATTTGCTCTGCTCTTCCTGTCCGGTAGATTTTTATTTTATTTTTAGAAGCTTTTCATCTCCAACCAAACCCTCTCTAAGGACATTTATACGTGACTTTTTTTATTAGAAATTGGCAGTAGCCTCCTGTTGGCAACTCTAATCAATGCTGTGTAGAGCGATGACATCATTCCCTTTTTTTAACTGCATTCAACAAAGACAATCCAACACTTCTGAACACAAGCCTCTCATTCTGTTTGCAAATGCATTTAGGTTTTATTTGTTTTAAATACATCTTCATCATTTGTCCACACTTCCCAAATATGAATCCTTTTATAACCTTCCATGTTTCCAAATGTTTCCAAATAACACCATGCTAAGTGTCTTACTTACTTAAAGTGCACCTATCATGCTATTTGTAGGCAATAGCATAGGTCTCAGATATATAAAAATATATAAAAAACATGTCTATGAAGTGTTTTGCTCAAAATACCAAACAGATCACCCATTCTAGCCATGCCTCATATCCCTCTATTTCACTTCCTGTTTCAAAACTGCTGATTTGGGGTATAAAGCTTTACAAAATAAAACAGGAGGGGTCTGAGCTCATGCGGGACCCGGCAGCTACTGTCTAAACTAAATACTGCCGTGATGAAACGCCATATCATGGATTATCAAGGATTATCTCTGAAACAGTATGGAGCTCAAAGGCTTTCTCTCTTGCCGGTTATACCACAAGGTGAGTTCCTTTTTATTTCCTGCTTCTTCACACACATGCTCTCCAGTACAGGTTAGCTCTGAGTGTTAGCGATGCTAATGTAAACACCGACCATATTACGTCCAAAACAGTCGGGCATTGTTTCTGATAGCAACGTTTCTGATAGCGCCGTGGGTCCACATTTCAGATATTACGTCATATCGGACGCAAATCTGGATCAGCTCCGTTGTTCCCCCGTTTTTAGAGATTTGGGTACGGAGGAAAAGAGAGAGGGTTTTATTTTCTGACGCTGCGTGAGTTCCCTGACACACCGGGGACACATGTTTATGTAGAAAATACATCAAAAAGTGCATTTTGCATGATAGGTCCCCTTTCATTTTTGATTATATAACAATGAAAAAAAATTAATACCAGATTTTAAAGGATTTCTTTGAACATTTTACAGCTTTTTTACTTTGGTTAACAACCATCAAATTACTATTATTATTATTATTACTAATATTTTGCAGTCTGGAATTTGATCAAGATTGCAAAGAATAAAGATTACTATTATTATAAATATTATTATTTGTATCACTTTATATATTCTATTACATAACGCTGAAAGACACTTAATTATTGAGTTTAAAATACATATCAGAAAGGTATGTGTTAAACATGTAAATATGGAGTTTTTTTAATCTATAAATGCTAGTATATCTTCTTTGTGATGGTAATATCAATACCCAATTAAGAACAACTCTCGTACTGAAACATTTTACTACAGAATCCAGATACAATATATCTATATTTCCTCGTTTTTACTGTAAGTTAGATAAGGTCATGTTGTGTTTTATTCTCTCACTCACTCAGTCGGGTTGGAGGTGACACAAATCCTCTCTCACACAGTACAAGACAGTCGTGTGTGTGTGTGTGTGTGTGTGTGTGTGTGTGTGTGTGTGTGTGTGTGTGTGTGTGTGTGTGTGTATGTGTGTGTATGTGTGTGTGTGTGTGTGTGTGTGTGTGTGTATGTGTGTGTATGTGTGTGTATGTGTGTGTGTGTGTGTGTGTGAAGGAGAGAGACGAGAAGAGAGTTGAGTCTAGCTGTGAGCAGGGACAGTTATGTAACAACAGAGGAGAATGCATCGTAGGTTTTCATGAGTCACACACACACACACACACACACACACACACACACACACACACACACACACACACACACACACACACACACACACACACACACACACACACACACACACACACACACACAGGAAGTGAGGGATTAGATCTTACACAGCATTCATGATTTATCAAAATGACAGGAAGTGCAGCATGACGTCTCATCGCCATGACACAACAGTTAATGACAAGTAGGAGCAGTTTTACAATTGTATTGGCAGAGACCACTACTCTATATCATGTCGTTATATGTGTCTTTATGGCACACAGACCAATGGGGGTGATTTCTGACAAATGTCTTAGTGCATATGAACATTTAAAGAAACCAAATAAATGTATCATAGCTGCAACAAGAGCTCTGTGAAAGATGGCAGGTTACAGGAAGTACCTAGATCTCAGTTTAAAGAGGTCTTATTATGCTCTTGGGGGTTTTCCTATTCTGCATATAGTTTTTGTGCATGTAAATGGTCTGCAAAGGCTAAAACTCCAAAGTTTAGCTCCCATACGTCCCACCGTCAAGCTAAAGGTGGCTAATGTTGGACGTGATGACGTTTAGTCGTCTCATTTAGACACTTGTTAGCAACCACCGTTTTTGAGTTTTAAGTTGATACTCATTCCTGCAGCACTCTTTATGGAGAAAGTATTTTTTTCTAATTCGAATTAAAGATTGAATCAAATCAAATCAAATCAAATCAAATCAGGTTTTATTTATATAGCACATTTAAAAGCGATTTTTGGTCGAGCCAAAGTGCTGTACATGTAATAAAAACACATTACTACAAATCACAATAAACGACAATAAATTACAACAGATATATCTTAAAAACAAAATAAAAATAAAACACACGGAAAAGTCAGGAGAATGAAAAACATCTTCCCTGATAGCAAAGATGTGATGTCTCGAGGAAGCTTTAAAATGCACGTCATTGAGCAGATACTCACATGTGTACATCTCCTCTCATAAACACTGTTTTTACAGTATGTTATATTTACTTCTTATTCTGTAGCAAAGCAGTTGTACTTGCGTAAATGTATTGCGTGAGGTTCAGGTATCGATTGGAAGATTTGAACCCTGTGGCCATGTTCCGGAAAGATGAACACACACGCACGCACAGGGTGGCGTGGGTGGCCACTTGACTGCTTCTCACACACACTCACAAACACACACACATACAATGCCCGGGGCTTTATAAACAGCCGGGTTTGGAGGTTGTGACTTCACATCAGTTTCTCTCTGTGAAAAAACACAGCGTCTCTCGTCATTTATTTTCCACATTCTCCATCTACCTGTTTGTTTTCCTAATGTCCTGATCTCTCTCTCTCTCTCTTTCTCTCTCTCTCTCTCTCTTTCTGTCTCTTTGTAGTTTCATTTATAGCAGCAGTGTGTGGTGGTTGAAGTTGGCTTCCTGCCTGTTGAGATGTACCAATAGGAATCACTGTGAGCGGGGGTTCATGCTGATGAAATTGATCTGCTCAGGTAAGGAAGTCTTTTTTTATTCCTCTCTTTTTTCCCTGGTTGCTGGAGATAATCTCTTTATATCTTCACCATCATTTACCTTCAACACAATCCTTAAAGGGGCCCCATTACACTCATGTACAGGTTTTTCCCTCCCTCTATCTCTCAGTGTGGTCAGGAGTTGTTGCATAACACGGCGGTTCATCTTTTATTAAGATGGGAAGCTTCCATAAATATGTCCACCTTGCTCTGTGGAGTTTAAAAGCTCAACCCAAGCTTAGACTATACAAAGGACACACAGATTGGTTGTTTCCATGAGGTGTGTGACTTGACTGGGACAGCGTTATCTCCTTTCCTTTCATAAAGGAGGGTCCTAAGCTAAAGGAGATAATAAAAGAAGCTCCGTTCCTATCATCTAGAGAATTCAAACAGCTCTTATCATGGCTCACTTTGGGACATCCTGCTCATTTCACTCCGTTAGAAACCTTCCTGACTTTTCGTCTGTGACCCCAGACTCCTTTTGACACCCTCTTTATATCCATTTCTCTTTTTCTCCATCTCACCTTTTATGCCTCTCTCCACTTTCTCTCCCCCTCTCTGATCTATTATTCACTGACTTCTCTCTGCAGGGCGTTTAGACCTCCACCACCAGAGCTTCCCCTCCCAGGAAAAGAAAAAGAATGATGAATAAAAGAACAGAAGGGGAGACGGATAAAACATTTTTTTAAAAAGCTTTGGGAAGGGCGGCTCTATAGATACGTCAAGGTATATTCCTTCATGTGGCTTATTGAAAAGGTTGACATTTTACACCGTCCTCCGTACTCCTTTAAAAAGATTCCACTCAGTTCGTACCGGACGCTAGACCATAGAGGACATTTATTTTAAAAACGTCCGAGACTAACCAATGACCCTTTAGGTGCTTCACATTGATGGATATCAGCAGATTATGAGGTTACAGAAGTTATTTTGTCTTCAAAGGGACCCTAATATTGTCATTTTCATGTGTATATCAGTATGTAGTGTCTCTACTTTAAAGAGTCCTCTCCTGCTGATGTTCAGGTGTATATCAGTATGTAGTGTCTCTACTTTAAAGAGTCCTCTCCTGCTGATGTTCAGGTATATCAGTATGTAGTGTCTCTACTTTAAAGAGTCCTCTCCTGCTGATGTTCAGGTGATATCAGTATGTAGTGTCTCTACTTTAAAGAGTCCTCTCCTGCTGATGTTCAGGTGTATATCAGTATGTAGTGTCTCTACTTTAAAGAGTCCTCTCCTGCTGATGTTCAGGTGTATATCAGTATGTAGTGTCTCTACTTTAAAGAGTCCTCTCCTGCTGATGTTCAGGTGAATATCAGTATGTAGTGTCTCTACTTTAAAGAGTCCTCTCCTGCTGATGTTCAGGTGTATATCAGTATGTAGTGTCTCCTACTTTAAAGAGTCCTCTCCTGCTGATGTTCAGGTGAATATCAGTATGTAGTGTCTCTACTTTAAAGAGTCCTCTCCTGCTGATGTTCAGGTGTATATCAGTATGTAGTGTCTCTACTTTAAAGAGTCCTCTCCTGCTGATGCTCAGGTGTATATCAGTATGTAGTGTCTCTACTTAAACGAGTCCTCTCCTGCTGATGCTCAGGTGTATATCAGTATGTAGTGTCTCTACTTCAAAGAGTCCTCTCCTGCTGATGTTCAGGTGTATATCAGTATGTAGTGTCTCTACTTTAAAGAGTCCTCTCCTGCTGATGTTCAGGTGTATATCAGTATGTAGTGTCTCTACTTTAAAGAGTCCTCTCCTGCTGATGTTCAGGTGTATATCAGTATGTAGTGTCTCTACTTTAAAGAGTCCTCTCCTGCTGATGTTCAGGTGTATATCAGTATGTAGTGTCTCTACTTTAAAGAGTCCTCTCCTGCTGATGTTCAGGTGTATATCAGTATGTAGTGTCTCTACTTTAAAGAGTCCTCTCCTGCTGATGTTCAGGTGTATATCAGTATGTAGGTCTCTACTTTAAAGAGTCCTCTCCTGCTGATGTTCAGGTGTATATCAGTATGTAGTGTCTCTACTTTAAAGAGTCCTCTCCTGCTGATGTTCAGGTGTATATCAGTATGTAGTGTCTCTACATGTCTCCGTGCTTTAATGTTCAAAAAGCTCTTTATTTTTCTCATACTGCCTGTGCTGCAGCACCTCTTTTCACCCTCTGTCTGAAACCAGAGCCCAGTCTGCTCTGATTGGTTAGCTGGCCGGCTCTGTTGTGATTGGTCAACAACCTAAAGATGTCCCGCCCCTTAGCCTATCAGGTAAAATGTGTTGGAGCGCTAGCCAATAGAAGAGCGAGTGTTACATATGTGGGAGGGATAGAGAAGATATAACACACAACAGGAAAGGGAACTCCCCGCAAAAACAAATGTATTCAACTTAAACCAAATGTATTGATTATGCATGGTTTAGAATAAGCAGTGCCAACCTAAGTAACGCCGCGTGACCAAAACAGGCGCTCAACTTTTCCCTCAATTAAACAACGTCCTATAAACTTCTTCCTGACCCACCTCTGGGCGCTTTTGAAGCGTTTTATAAACCAGCTGTTTCTACCAGATTGAAGGTCATTCAGTCCTTCACTGCCAGCATAAACATCCACATCTGTCTTCACATGTGGAAGAAAGGCAAAGTCACAGAGTAAACATGTTGATGTTTACAGAGCCTAAATATGTTTTAATTACATGTTACATATACCAACTGATTAAAGCTTAAGTTACTCTCATTGAGTCACCTCTCCCATGGGATCTAGTTAACAGAGCTTAGAAAATATGTACAAAAACACTATTTGAGGTCCCTTAGTTTCATATTTAATCGCCTACAGTATATTGTCTTTTTTTCAATACTCAGAATTCAAAGACTCAGAAAACTCCAAACCTAAAACTTGCATCGAGTAGGACAACATTAAATCCATTGCCTTTAGAAATCACATTTTAGTGACTGACTCTTTTGACTTCTTTCTGTTTTATTATTTTACACATTTAGGGTTTACAGGTTAACTGAAGGGCTTGTGTTTGCCGCTGTGTGTGTGTGCGTGTGCGTGTGCGTGTGTGTGTGTGTGTGTGTGTCTCCTCATTCCCCAGCCTCTCACATCAATGCAAAAGATAACACCAAACACAATCTACATATTAGAGCAGTGGCATGAGATGAGGACAGATCTGAAATGGGATCTGCTTCTGTTCCGTCCCGCTGAACACGTCTTCTCTCCAGCCATCAATCATCTCCTTCCCGTGCTTCATGGAAATGGGGAGGGAGAAACTCCATTTAACGGCCCTTTACCTCCCATCTCGTCCACCTGTGTCTCTTTGTCTGTCCGTCCATTCATCCGTCTGTGCTCGCGTCCAATCAGGTCGCAGCGTGAGGCTGTTTATTTAAATCTATTTAAATGCATATGAGCGGTACGTGCATATGGAGGCAGATTTCACAGCCCAGCAGGTCAGCAAATACCAAAACTGTTCTGCATCACTGGGATCCATCAGGGCCCCGAGACAATTAATACACACCACAGGGGGTCAGGTGTGTGTGTGTGTGTGTGTGTGTGTGTGTGTGTGTGTGTGTGTGTGTGTGTGTGTGTGTGTGTGTGTGTGTGTGTGCGTGTGTAGTCCCAAACTAAGACACTTTGTCCCTTTCTCTTTGTCCCCTGCGGTCATGTGTCTTCACGTCTCATATGGATGTGATCACATGTTTTGGAGTGTGTGTGTGTGTGTGTGTGTGTGTGTGTGTGTGTGTGTGTGTGTGTGTGTGTGTGTGTGTGTGTGTGTGTGTGTGTGTGTGTGTGTGTGTGTGACGGAGAGGTGTAAAGCAGCATGCATCTCAAAAATAAAAACCCCTGCTGTGATTATTATGTATGAATTTAAATGTATTATTATTAAAACAATTAAACAATAATAATTATAAATATTTTTGGAATTATGATTATTATTATTATTACTATTAATAATGTTATTAAATGTTGCATCCAGATTGAAGGGATAGAATAAGGCACGTTTCATTGTTCTGCTAAACTCATACTGCCTGTAAATACTTGTTTATACATTATTTTGCACAGTACATGTACATGTATGGAAGTCAATAAATACAAAGTAAAAAAATGATTAAAACACCTGAAGAATGAGAGGTGCGGAGTTATGAAGCGTGGGTGCAATAAAACAAAGGAAAGGAGCAGGAGGTGAAAGGGGAGTCGAGGGAGAAAAGCTTCACTCTGGAGGGAGAGAGAGAAAATGAGGGAGGTGGATCAGAACGAGAGAGAGAATAAGAAAGGCGGGAGGAAGAGGAAGGAGAAGTGAAGGGTAAATGTCTGATGTGTTTATTGTCTAACATCAGAGGTATAAAGTAACTAAGTATTTATTTATTACGTTTTATTCTAACCTTTTATATTACCATATTTTATTCAATATGCTCCTTAGATAACTATTTCTCCTCATACTATTGTGATGCACCTTGAGATGACGTTGTTTTTAAAGTGTGCTATATAAAATAAATGTATTATTATTAAAGGTCCCATGTCATGGCCATTTCTACTGATCATAATTCCATTGTTGAGGTCTACTAGAATACATTTATATTGTTCAATGTTCCAAACTCACATTGGTTTCTCATACAGCATCTCTGTATAGTATGTGTATTCACTCTCTGTCCTAAACGGCTTGTTGGAGCTCCTGCCCCCCCCCCCCCCCCTCCCTGTGAGCCCAGTGGCCGTCTGCAAGACAGCGAGACACAGCTAAACCCAGCCCGAAACACACACACACCCGCAGCCTGGCTGGGAGTTTGTGTGTGTGCCCAGGCTGAGTTCCGCGGTGTCTCGCTGTCTCGCCGACCCCACACCAGTGAGCCAGCTCACAGTGTCCCGCTCCTCACAGCAGCGAGCCTCGCAACGTCCCGCCGAGTGTGTGTGTGTGTGAGGAAGTCCGCGGATTGGTCCAAACGTAACGGCTCCGCGGACGTAACGTAACGGCTCCGCAGATTGGTCGATTTACGTTACGTTACTATACCCGAAATA